GCCTTTGGAAAGGGAGAAAAAGGAAAGGTTTATCTAAGCCCTTCTTCTGCCTAGTGATTCTCAGTTGTGCTACTATGGTTAATTCAGTGATTATTTTCTTTCTTATTAAGCTACTTGCTTTCCCCAAGGAGTTCACTTCAATTCATATCAACCTTCTTTCTAGATCCGTTTTCTAGCGCTGAGGCAATTTGGAACTGCTGAACTTCAACTGGAGAGCTACATCATGTGCTCCAAGGCAATCTTTGAAGCTCAAGCTAAACACACCCGTATTTCTAACCTAAAAGTACCCACAGCTCCTTCTCTGCAGCCTTGGAAAACCCTCTGAACACACCTGCTGAAAACTGGGGGCATGGAGCAAGCCCTAATATAAGCTAAATGTGCCCTAGAAAATATTAAGTTTAAGACATCTAAATAGAGCCATGGTAGAGAAGTGGTTAGAATGCAGTACTGCAGGCTACTTCTGCTGACTGCCAACTGCCAGCAGTTTGGCAGTTCAACTCTGACTGGTTCAAGATTGACTCAGCCTTCCATTCTTCTGAGGTTGGTAAAATGAGGATCCAGATTGTTGAGGGCAATATTCTGACTCTGTAAACCGCTTACATGGGGCTATAAAAGCACTGTGAAGCAGTATATAAGACTAAGTGCTATTGCTATTGCAAATTAAAACTTTGATCCTTCAGCGGCAAATTCAGGAGAAATTAAAAAAGAAAAAAAAAGTCTCATTTCATCTATTTGCATTATCACCCGATCCAAAGACTACGCATGACCCCAGACCTTGCCCATGGTTGTCTTATATGGGCAGTGGGAAAGGGAGGAATAGCAAGCAATACCCGTTGGTTCATTGTGCCATTGTTACTCCCCTTGTGGCGAGCATCCTGCCACACCTCACCTTTGTTTTAACCAGTGTTTCTCAACCTTGGTAGCTTGAAGATGGGTGGACTTCAACTCCCAGAATCCCCCAGCCAGTGCTGCTGGCTGGGGGATTCTGGGAGTTGAAGTCCACCCATCTTCAAGCTACCAAGGTTGAAAACACTGGTTTTAAGAAAGCTTGTTTTAATTCAAACAATATAGGTAGTCCTCAATTTAGGACCACAATTGAGCCCACATTTTTGGAGTTTGGCCCCATTTTATGTCTTTTCTTGCCGCATTTGTTAAGTGAATCACTGCAGTTGTTAAATTAGTAACATGGTGGCTAAGTGAATCTCGCTTCCCCACTGACTTTGCTTGTCAGAAGGTTCCAAAAAGGGATCACATGACTCTGGGACACTGAAACCACCATAAATAGGGGTGAGGTGCCAAGTGTCTCAATTTTGGTCATGTGACCAAGGGGATGTTGCAACGGTCACAAGTGTGAAAAATGGTCATATTTTCAGTGCCATTTTAACATTAATGGTCACTAAACACACTGTTGTAAGATGAGGACTACCTGTACAGGGGGTGGGCAATTATGGCCCCTTTACGACTTGTGGACTTCATTTCCCAGAATTCCTGAGCCAACCATGCTGGCACAGGAATTCTGGGAAATGAAGTCCACAAGTCGTAAAGGGGCCATAATTGCCCACCCCTGTTCTAGCATCATCTTTATTTCTAAAAGCAGAGGAAGTATATTCCACTCTTATTCTACATGACTCAGAACCTCCTCCTTCTGCCATGTATAATGTTGTATACAACAGATAAAACCAGTGGTGGGATTCAGCCAGTTCGCACCACTTCGAGAGAACCGGTTGTTAACTTTCTGAGCAGTTTGGCGAACTGGTTGTTGGAAGAAATCATTAGGGCAGAGAACCGGTTGTTAAATTATTTGAATCCCACCACTGGATACAACCTTTTCCAAAATATATAGTACATGGGCACTATAGTTTTGAAAAGTTTCAAAGAAAGCAAAACAATTTGACAGAAGGACAATTGGGAGGATCAGACAACTAGAAAGGTTGTTGTGTGACCAAAGACCATGGGAAGTGGATTTCCTGTTAGAAAAAAAGAAAGCAATGGAAAAGCTTTTTTTCCCCAGTACCTGCAGTGTTGCCACACAACCTGTTCTCTAGCATTCCAGCATGTAAGTGATAAAAAAGGGGGTTTGAGATGGGCAGATTTTAGCCAAAGGGCAGAACAAACTTCCTAACTGGAATAAAAGTTGGACAATGCAGCTAATAATCCAGAAACGTGATGGGATCCCCTTTGTTGGATAGGTTCAAGCAGAGGCCAGAAAGCCATATATCAGAGAAGATTTATCCTGGATTCTCTCCCTGAACAGGAGCTGGAACTGGATGTTTCTTCCAAATCTTTAATTTCCTGAATGCCATTGGGGCAGAGGGTCTGCTTAGTGCTTTGTTGGAAGCGTCCCATTTGCCCATAAAAAAGATAAATGTACTCTGATAAATGTGAGGCTAGGAAAGGTAATGGGCACTTACGAATGGATGCTTGGTGAATGCCATACCCATCGTGTTACCAATTAGCGCACGGCAATGTCTCCGTGGCAGCTGTTCTGTGAGGCTATACATGACTTGTTCTCAAAAGCCAATGTGTCCACCAGCCCCAAATTCCCTGTTAAGAGGGACAGTTCATGCAAGTGAAAAAGCTAAGCTAATCCCATGCCCACCTTGTGTGAATGTGTGTGTGTGTGTGTGTGTGTGTGTGTGTGTGTGTGTGTGTGTGTGCATCCTCTCCAGATGCTTTCCTCTCAATCAGGCAACTGCAGATGGGGCCAACTCCAAAACGAAACTGAATTTAAACACAATTAATGTTCACTTAATTAAATAATATGGATCTGCCCCTGTACTGAAGCTTTTAATGAAAAGAAGGACTAGGGGAGACATGATAGCAATGTTCCAATATCTCAGGGGCTGCCACAAAGAAGAGAGAGTCAAGCTATTCTCCAAAGCATCTGAGGGCAGAACAAGAAGCAATGGGTGGAAACTAATCAAGGAGAGAAGCAACCTAGAACTAAGGAGAAATTTCCTAACAGTTAGAACAATTAATCAGTGGAACAACTTGCCTCCAGAAGTTGTGAATGCTCCAACATTGGAAGTTTTTAAGAAGAGGTTGGATAACCATTTGTCTGAAGTGGTGTAGGGTTTCCTGCCTGGGCAGGGGGTTGGACTAGAAGACCTCCAAGGTCCCTTCCAACTCTGTTATTGTATTTTCTCCAGCTGTTATGTTAGAAAGGCAGTGCGGAATGGTCACCCAAAGCTACTGAAGGGTATATGAAGAATCTTGGAACCTATGGGTATAGGCACGGGTGAAATGCTCCCGGTTTGGCCGAACTGGTAGCGATGGCAGCCAGTGGTTTGGAGAATCGGTAGTGATGGCGACGTGAGGCTCCGCCCACCCACCCGGTCGTCGTTAGTTCCTAATTTTAACCAGGAAGTAACCAGTTTTCTACTGTCTGCACATGCACAAATGGATTTGCGCATGCGCAGAGGGTCCATGTGAGGATGTGATGCATGCACGCAAGCGAAACAAACACATGCACGTGGTGCGTGCACTTCCAAACCGGTTGGGAAGGTAAGTAGATTTCACCCCTGGATATAGGCAGAGTAGAAGAGGTCCAGCTAGCCTGTAGTGGGAGCTATCTGTGCTGAACCTGAAGAAAAGAAAAGCAAAAGGTCAAGCTGCTCCCTTTTGTAGGGTTTTAGCGATCAGATGGGAGATGGAACTCTGTTGGAGTTTATGAAAACTGTGGGTTTTCTCTTTATGCTTATAAACGTTCCATTAAAAGGTCAGAAGTCTCCTGTGACCCTCTTTCAAAGAAACTGAGCCTTGGGTAAGGAAAGAAACCCAGAAATTTACACAATTATGAAGTGAACTGCCTTTTAGGAACAATATGCAACCTTTGTTTCTGAATGATATATTTAAAACCTGCAACCTAAATGTCTGCTCTCGCTCCTTTTGTTTCTTTCAGCATGTTTGCATTTTTAACTTTTTAAAAAGTTTCCGAGTTTTTTTGTTTTTTTTTTAATTGCCAGGCAAGCAGAAAAACATCATCATCTCAGTTTAAGCACAACAATCTCCCATTCTTAATTACGACACCGATCATGGAAATTATCTTGGGTCAAGCGCCTTCGCACTCTGAAACCTAATTATGAAAACAGCAGGTGGCTCCTCACTCGAAGCTGTTATTCTAAAGAAGGTAGTGATGAGTGCCATCCATCAACTCATAGAGCCGTTTTCGCCCTCCCGGTCCTATGAAACCAGCATTTTAATGCTTTCGATTAAAGAAGGTTTGATTCTCAGCAGGGCAACTCTCAGCTCATCTTCGGCTGCAAAAATTTCTCCCCTGCTTTGCAGATTTGCATCGGGAAACTACTTCCTCCTGCCTTCTTTAAAAATGGGCACACAACATTATTAATGGCACACCACCGACGCTTGGTGGAGGAGGAATAAAGCTTGGCGGTAAAATAAAAATACAATTTTAATAAAGCCTGCTATTAACTGCATCCCAGGAGGCAGCCATAAAGGCACGTTTCTGTGCATAGAAGGGCTATTTCATTGGGTAGGTTATAAACCAGCAAAAATGCAAGCCAGCCCATAAGAGTCTGCTTGAGCTGGTTTTTACAAGAAGGAGAAAAACGAGACGAATCATGGAATACTAACGGGTTTTTTGCAGCTGTTGAAAAACTCCACATCTGAGATGGGGTCCATTAGATATGACCTGACCACATTTGCCCGTAGACCTTTAGGGGCCTCGTTGGTCATCTTTACTCCATTCTGGAGCACAGAAACAGGGAAGTTGGGAGATGGGTAGCTTGTGAGCCACATACGGAAATCTGGATGTGTTGTATCTGGATTCAGTTCCTAATAAGAGAAGAAAAAGAAACTCAGTAAGGACAAGAGATCACCAGCTGAGGGTTAGAAATTAAATGTTTCTTCTTAAGGCCTACCCACGTTCAATTATATTTATGTTCAATAACAATTTTTATAAATGGGAACAGGAAACTTGATGTGATGTGTATTCATGTTTGTTTGTTACCACGCCCCTCTTCTAGGGACGTAATTGGTCCTCAGCGTGTTCTGGAAGGTGCTGCCGCTGTGTCCTCCGGAATGGCCCTAATCCCGTCGCACCCGATACCACCACCCCACACCCCGCATACGGCCGCCTTCACCCAGTGCCACCACCACCAAGTATGTATATGTCCCTCGATGCTTTCAGCACGCGTTAGCGATGTCGAGCAGGTTGCTAGGCTCGACAGAATCTTGTATTGCTGAGGTTGTTAACTTGATGCTGACCAGATATTTTAAATTATTCCTATAATCCTAGGCCATCTTGATTGGGGTTTACGATAGTTGTAGTGCAATAAATGCAGAACATGCCGGATAACTGCTTCCTTTTATTGGAAGTATTTCTTCCCCATACTTATTCTTTGCTTTCAAGCACAGTTGAGATATTATGCCATATATTATGTGGGCAAATGTGCTAGATCTATTTATGTTTTAGTAGCATCCATCAATCAATGTCTGATACAATGGTTATATACTCCAATTTAAAAACTAATTGCTACCATTGTAATTGTAATCTCATTGTAAGAGATATTTCTCTGTGTACCTCAATAATTGAACTTCAGAGATAGCCAGTTCCAATTTAGGCCTATCTAATTTAACCCCACCCCCCACCCCCCAAAAAATCCATCTTCACAAAACTATTAAAATTTGATTTAAAAATCAATATATCATAGTTTAAAAAATCAGGATGATACAGTCTAATTCAATATTAGAAATAAATGCACCCTGCAGGCCAAACCTAAGCATACATGCTGAAAGTTGAATTCAATGAAAGCTACTATTCACATTTAGAGCCCCAAGATACTTTCCCAATATTACATTTTATGAAGAGTTTATTCAAGATAAGTATTTAAGGATTAAGTTAATTCTGAGACTCCAAAACAAGTAAAAGTTACTATTTATGTCTCAGGGTTTTTTTGCTGATTGCTTATGTAATAATACACACTCAAAATTAAAATAGTAATGGAAATGGCAACAGCAATGATGAGGCTTAAATGGAAGAAAACATTAGCTAACTTGATGAGTTGGCAATAGCATTACCACTTCCTTTGCTGAGGCACTGGGCAGAACAAGCTGATTCAGTATAGCTTCCTTCAGCCCTCCCCTCTTCAGTCCAAGAGCTTCTGCTCATTAACATTTCCTCTTGCAGAAGCCCAAGTGGGCAAAACAGAAGGGGAAGAAACCAAGCAGGGAGGGGGGGAAAGTTTATTGACAAATGATTGTTCTCCAGCCCTTCCACTCTTGGATCTGCCAAGCAACCTATTGGTGAAGACTCTTTTATTTATTGATGACCCAAAGGTATAGTTGCATGCTCCCACAAAAGCTAACCTGAAGTAAATTATATTAACAGGTAGGCTGAGAAATCCAAATCTCCAATAGGATTTAACAATTAATTAGAGGGGGGGTTGTATTGTTTTGCTATCATTTAGTAGTCATGTAGATTGGTTAAATCCAGATTTAGTAGGCCTGTCTCCTACCTCATACACATATTTCTATTCCTGGCTTTATGCATTTTATCTTATTGCCTTCAGTCCAGGTGTAATTTTTTCCAACATTACTTTCAAGATCCACCGATTCCTCAGATGTTCTCTTTGTTCACAATGTCACACTTAAAACTTAGTGGCGCCTTCTGCTACCTTCCTTATGAGCCAATCTGAGTACTGTCGTCTTTAATCCAGCTCTGGCTCCTTTACTGTTGTTCTGCCCATCTCACCCACAAAATTAGCCTACAAGTTACAACTCATCTTTTTTCCACATGACATGTTATCATAGTTTAAGCTCCTGTTTATACTCACCTCACAGACTTTCTCTAGTGTGGGCATCCATGAGGTTGCAAGATGGCAGTTCTGCAGAACTACCCAACTACCTTCTTTTACTGCCTTCTCAATCATGCGCATAGCAATGGGGCCTTGGCCTTGGCCCAGGGACAGGGAGGTGAGTTTTGATGCACCAAAGCCCTGTACATATAAAACATCCATGGAAAAAAAAAAGGGGGGGGGAAATCATCAAATGTTGCAGGAGCACGGCGAGGGTTAGGTTGCAGTCAACATTTAGAATACTAAAGAAAGTCTTGTTGAAGTCACGTCAAGTTATTAAGTTCCATGTATGAAACAAATGCAATTGGCCATGGTCCTCTAGAAGGCATTCCTTGCCTTTCTTCTATTGAGAGAGGTTACTTACTAACAACTTTCACCAAGGCTTCTTTCACATAGGTTGGTCCTTCTTACCAATTCCTATAACAATTCATAATTGCTGAGTGATAGTGTCCTGATTTCATATCTCAGGAGATTGATGAGGGAGTAAAGGGGTTGACGAAACTGTTCAATTTGGCAGCCCCCCTATCCTGTCAACATCACCAGCCAGCAGGAAAGCTGCCCATCTGTCACTGCATTACTATGGCTTTAACAGATGACTAGATCATTGACGTTCAAAGGAAGAACATGCTTCCTTTACTTTGAGAAAGTAAGTGAGTAAACTCACTTTGAGGTGAGTTTAAAGAGCTAAATTTTGCTTCCTTTCTCCCTGGGTGTGCATGGTTAAGGCCATGTCAGAACTTCCATGCCTGGGGAAGCTGATGGCTAAAAAACAGCTTTCCTTCTTTTTCGTCTCTTCTTGAATCTTAGGGTAGTTGATTGCCAGGGTAGAGAAGGAACAGGTAAGTGGGAAGAGATTGGCTCTTAATCTATCAGATCTCCAGCCTGACAGGTCAACTAATCCTTGGGACTGAAATCCATTGCCTCTACTGAAATTAATATGTACTGAGGCTTGGGGATAAAGGACACTCTTAAGTATTTTAATGGATACAGATTCAACCAGGGGCTCAGAAAAATGACTATATTCATTCCAATACTAGTATGTGTTATCCATGCTGCATTCCATAAAAGGATAAAAACAACTACAGGAAGAGTCTTTTCTTCCTTCTACAGCCCCCTGAATACCAGCGTGTATAATAAGGCATACCTCACATAGAGAGCAAGTAATGATATGAGCATTGTGGCACAAGCTCTGTCCCTTTTGTATGTGTGTGCTATGATGTTGCACACATGCACATAAACATGGCAACATCAGTTATGTCATTCTAACAATATTATCACATTCTGAGATGAAACCACTGGGCTTTGTCAATGTAAATCAGATCAAGCCTGTAAAATTATTTTAACTGATGTTCCCGGCAACCATGAAGCCTTTTGCTCATATATCATCCCACTGAACAAGTAATGCAATAGCAAGCACTCCAGTGTTAGGTCTCATATCCACTGAGAAGCTCAATGAAATAATCATCTACATACCTGGTCATCGGCAAATTTGAGAAGAGCTGCCATGGGATCTGCACCCGGAGACAACACAAAAATTAGTGCAGCACAGCAGTGGCTATCCCCAAAAGCTTTGTTTAAGTCAAAAGGAGGAGGCTCAATAAACAGACGGCCCAAGTTGTTAATGATAAATTCTTGCACCATGGGAATAATCTAGAAAGTCAAGAAGGCAAAAAAAAAAAAATGACATGGTTTTCCTTAAAAATCATTATATATATGATTGACTTGTGCTGTTTAATAAAAGCACACACTAATCACAGAGTTTCAAATGCTGTGCTTCTACTTCCAATTCTCTTAAAAAATTAAAAGGAATAATTTTGGTACAAGAAAAAAAAGAAAAAGTGGAAAAGAAAAAATTACAAGTTACGTAAACTTCTACAGCATCAAGTATGAGTATTATGTTCATATTAGTTGCAATGTCCCAATCCATCTTTCTCCAACCTGGCATAGTCTAAATCAATATTTTTTAAAACTTTTTTCTCTCAAGAGGCCTTCCTATTTTAAAAAATTATGGAAGACCCCCTCCCAAGGGCTTTTATTTGTATGAGTTGTATTTATTCATATTTACCATATTAAAAATTAAAACTGATCCATTGACTGTTGCTATTACTTGATGGGATTTTTAAAATGTATTATTTTTCAACACAGGTTAGCAATAATAATAAATTTGACAAAATAATAATTTTGTCTTTGCAGACCCCTGAGAGCATCGGGGTGGGGGTGTGTGTGGGGTGGAGGGCAGGGATCCTAAGGTCATATTTTAAATGTGTTCTAAATGTTCTAAATGATAGTAGAGGAAGTATAGCAATTCTGTGTTCATAATAGTTGCTGAAATCCAAATCTTTAGGGGTAGGGATAAGCAAAAGTGTAATTCCCTCTTGCCACCAATGAGCCAATGGATCCTTCTTTTGACGACCACTATTCTACATATACACCCATGCTGAAAGAGAGGGAGGGAGGGAGGGAGGGAGAAAGTGAGAGAACATAGAATGTTGGCATACAATGACAAATAGCATCAGACATTATCACCTTTATTTCTAAGAATGCCTCTGGCTTCCCTGCAGAAAATAAACATTGGGATGACTTGGTTTACATAAGATCCCATAAATCAGCTGCAAAAAATGTACAACCACCAGATGGCAGAAAAGAGATGCAGGACTGTCGCTGCCACCTAGTGTCTGTACAGAAGTTTGCAGTCCTACTTTACAAGCCTTCACACCAGCCTCAAAAAAAAAAAAAAAGATATTGGGGGAATGGAAGGCAGAAAGCATCCTGAGTGGAAGGGGGAAATGATTTAATCAGTTTCCCTTCTGAAAAATGGGTGGCTTGATAAATTGTAATAGCTACAGTCATTTTGTTTGCTTGTTCACAACTTAGAATCAGAAGAGTAGGCAGCATATCCATTTTTGAAAATAAAATAATTTTTAAAAAATGCTTTGAAAATTCACATGTGCCCACCAGCTCCAAAAAATATTCTACCTCTCTCAGTTTGGGCCATACCCTTACATCAGAGAAGCTGGGCCTCAATGCCAGCTCAAGCAGGGATATAACCAAATAATTGTTCTGTATTATTAGGGTAGTGAGCAGCCAGGGTTGATAACTCTCAAGAATTTAGGCAAATGCAGCTTTAGATGGCAGGAGCAAGAAAAGCAGCATCTGCTTCAAGTAGTTATCTGCAGAATTAAAAGGAAAGGAGCATCCCAAGAAGTAAGATGTTAATTATAGTAAGTAACCAATTTATGTACTAGTCTTTTTTAAAAAAGTATTTTATTGCTTTTACTTTTTGATGTTTTAATGTTTATTTTATTTAGCATTTTCTAAAATATTTTAATGCAGACTTGATTTTTGAATTAGTGTTTTAAATCTAAACACTTTGAGATTTACCTTTAAGAGGAAAAGGTATTGTAGTGATTTAGATAGATTAAACTATCCATGTTTATTTATAGTTTATCCATCTTTTCTCCCAACTCTTAAAGGTTGATTAACAGGTGACATCAATTGAGAGAGCTAACGAAATGCCTTAAATATGAAGCCAGAATCCATACAAGCTTGTGGCTTTGAAAGAAAGTGTGGTGAGAATAACAGTTTGCAACATTCATAGCCTACATGGAGGCTTTCCTGAGAGAAATCACTTCAACTTCCAAGAACCTACTTGCATTCAGAGAAATGTATGAATATAGAAATCGCCTACAGACCTTAACTGCATGGCCTTTTAAGGACAATTGCAAATGTACTCCTGAGAATGTAAGTCTAGAGGTTCTGGGAGGAAATCTTTGAAAAGAGCCACCATTTTTTTTCAATGATGTGTATTCATTCAAAGTAGAGTTCAGCCAGGCTTTCTCTGTATAAATATAATCTTACCTTGAACAATACTTTTAGCTGTTCTTAAAAATTGGAGTTTTCCTTCCTTCCTGAGAAGGGAAAAGCTTGCTGCTAAATCATTCTTTGTGTTGTTGTTTTTTAACATTTCAGAAGAGGAAAGAGAAAAAGGTCTACTCCTCCTGTCCCAAATCTGCAAGCTTTATTTCTCAATTATGTTACACACCTCTCTAGTTTTTAAAAGAAGCCCAGGCTGGCTTCCATATATTTTTCTAGAAATTGTAGGGGAAAGCTCTTGTAGGTATATCTTTAAGCTGGGGAAAACTGTTGCTATCAGCTTAGGAATTCTCTCCTAGAAAAGTTTCAGTTGAGGGACTAGTTCACTTCCATATTCTTTCCTTTAGTAAAACTAAGCTGTCTGAGGTGGCTCTGTGAAAAATGGAATATGCAGGACAAAGGAGATGCAAGTTTTTGTATAAGCCTAGCAAACTTTTCTTTTTTGGAGATTGTTTGGCTCTGAGATCTCCTGCAAACGGGGGATATTTGAGAGTTGAGAAAAACAGAAGGTGGTATGTCAGGCAGCCTAAACAGAATTGTATAGAATCTGCAGAAATGCAGACTAATTCCAGATGCAGTTTACTTTTCAGTATAAGTGAGAAAAATTGTAAATCAATTTGAATTATGCAGAACTCTGAAATATAAGTCAGAGTCCAACAATCTGCGCATAGCTTAGCCTATTATGTTAGGCCAGCTCCTGTGTCTGATTCAATCTTCAAGGAAACATAGCTTAACCTTGTGATGTGGACACAGCAGTGGTGAAATGTAAAATTTGTTACTACCGGGTCTGTGGGCGTGGCTTGTTGGGGGGTGGGGGTGGCCAACTATTTTCTTTTACTTTTTTAAAGAATTTTTTTACAACCTATTTGGGTGAATAGGTTGTAAAAAATGCTTTTAAAAGGTAAAAAAAAGAGGCTCTGACAATCACAGCTGTGGCACACAATTGTCAGAGCCTTTTTTTACCTTTTAAAAGCAGGAAGTAATGACACCCGGGCAGGTGGGCGGAGCCTCATGCTGCCATCGCTACCGATTCTCTGAACCACCTGCCACAATCGCTACCGGATGGCCCAATCCGGTCCAAATTGGGAGCATTTCACCCCTGGGACATAGTCATTAGTAAAGATCCAGCTGATGGCAAACAATATCCTAGGAAGTACAAAAGTTCTCTCTCAGTCTTCAAAGTGTCCTTATCCTCTTCTTATGTAGATGGCCAAGGCTGGCTTCATCCACCATCCACATGCAGAGGAACCTGATGTGGCCAAGTGCTTCTTCTGCTTGATAGAGTTAGAGGGCTGGGAGTCCAATCACGATCCCTGGTATGTATGGTTTCCGACTGCTGATTTTCTTCCTTAATGCAGCTCAGACTAAGAATGTTGTTGTCTGTGCACTTGTGGAGGAGGTTAGAAAACCTCCGGCTGGAGCAGAATTACTTTCCCCAAGTTCTGATAGGTATCTCCCCACCTTTAATGGAATTTCATATGGTTTTTTTAGCTCCCACTGAGGAAACAATTCAACCAACCTAAACAATACAGCCAAAAGACAAACAGAGGTATATGCAAGCATTTCATATTGGCTCGTCAGTACCTATATTGCAATAACATAGTTTAAATCAGCGTCAAATATAAGATCTGGCAAGAGCATTAATTAAGCTATAACATATGCAGGAAAGCAACCAATGGCAAGCCTTACGCCCATGGAAGGCATAGATTGACATAAAGCCATTTCTGCATGCCAAAGGGAGGCTTCAAACGGTTAATGGCAACTGCCTCAGCAAACCGCAGGAAATGAGAGTTCCTGTGGTCCAGTAAAACTTTCCATGCAGAGTTTGGATCTACCTGGTGGCCCGTAGATACTAAGTGACTTGCAATGGCCAAAGAATGCATTTTATGGCCATGATTTGCTGCTACTGTTGGATTACTCAAGACTGTCTGGACCCATTTCGGAAGATGCTCCTTTATTCTGAAAGCCAAACACCTATCAGTTCTGCCGATGTAATTGTCTCCGCAATTACAAACTGGTAAACACAATGAGCTTTGGCACTGATCGGTTGTGCTTCCTTAATTAGGGGCAACAGTAGCCTCTGGGTTTGATGTAATATGTGAAGCTCAGCCGTACCAAATGTTGCTTCAATTAAGGTATTTAAATGTCAAGTTGTCAGGTGTGCTAATTGATCCCCCTTAATTGATCCCCCTCAACCAACCTAGTTTACTTGTTGCTTTACAAAGGTACAAGTGCTGATAGTGACTTAGTAACTTGTTGCATAACATTACTTTGTCACTGAATCATGCTGGAAGATGTGAATGATGGGCATCTGCTTACATGGAAAATGTTTACATTTCTAACTGTAGCACTAAACTGTGTTCCTGAAAGTTTCCTCTACTTTTCCTGGCTCATTCTACTTCTTGCCAATGGCATTTTTTCCCTGGCAGGTTGGAGCACTCCAAGCGTAGTCAAGACTCATGTGGGTTCTTGTCCCTTTCAAAGAATTTTGATGATCTGACAGTAGAAGAATACTATGAACTAGAGATGGAAAGGGCCAGAAATTTTCTTGTAAGTAATGGAACTGATATCAGGAGAGCTGAGGTGACCTAAGCAATCTGAATTTAATGATGAACTTAAAGCACCTCCTGACCCCATCCATTCCTTAACAGACTTTTCATGGGTCAGTGTGAAATGTGGCTTCTCTTTCTTTCTAAAAATCTTGCTTTGTTGCTGCAAGAGGCTGCTGACGTACGTACAACTAACAGCTACCATTTTTCTCCCTATTTTTTCTCTTTGACAAGCATTGACAAAGATTTACTTTTTTCCCTCACAGTAGCCTAAAATCATGCTGGGCTATGAGCGTGGATCCAAATGAGCAATTGAGGTTGGAAACAATTACTGTCAAAGGTGTAGATGCTTTCTTTTAAAAAGGAAGGCTATTAATATATTCTGCAGTATCCCTTGTAGTTGTTCATGCTGTCTATCATCTAAAAATTGTGGCTAACTGAATTCTCCACTTATTTTCAAGTGCAAAACAGGCCGAAGTATAATAAACACCTTTGAAAAAGAAGCAGCTCTAACAAGGAAACGTCTTGTGGATCATTTCATGAATAAATACCAGTACACACCAGAAACCGAGACTTCTGCCATTTGCAACAAAAGAAAATTGTGTGCCAGCCAACAAATAGAAGAGAATGGATTGTAGCTGACAATCTCTTGTGATGACAAGCATGGTCAGAGGTAAAGGCATATATTAATGTGAACAAAGGCCTGGCCTGTAATACTGCCTAATATGACATGAATGGAATCTTCGGATAGCCATTTATATTCCTGATGCTTTTATTGTGTTGTAATGCTTGTTCTGCATAAAGCCAGAAGGAAATAATTCTGACTTATGGAAGTAATCCACTAAACTGAGATAATGTTTTTGGATAATGTAAAGATAGAATTTTAAATAAAGGGTTTTGGACAGACTAAGAGGGATTTCTTTTAAACTGATATTCAAATTTATCCAATAATATATCTTATAAATAATATGCACAATACAGTTGTCAGTGTAAGGCCAGCTCTGCAATATGTTGCTTTTGGCATCATACATCAAGGTGTGATGAGTTTCCGTATTTAAGAGTTTGCGTGTCACAATAGTGTTCCTCCATGAACAAATATGAAAAAAAATGCTTTTATTAATATATGTGCTATTCATTTTTTTTAATCTGTTATGTGACTCCTACAAAACTGAAGACAGCAGTACATTTACCTAAAATAGTCTACAAGGAATCTGTGTAAATTAGGGAAGAAGAAACTGTAAAATGCTCCATTGGAAATGTCTATAAAGTTTGTGAAAGGCCACTGTATATATTGAAAAATAAGCAAATATTATTTACCTAGAATCATCAAAACAAATAAACATCACAGTAATGTAAGGCAAGCAGTGTTTCTGTGTCTGGAAAGTTCTTGTCCCTTTTTCCATTCTCTGATGTAATAGGAAGAGAGAGATTCACCTAATAGTAAATTATTTACCCACCACAAGTAAAGATTCTTCCACCAGCTATTCCAGTATTGGCTACTTCCAATGTAGATTTTTTAAAAAGACACAGCTACCCTTCTTAAGGGTGAACAATTAGATAGCACTCAGTCTAATATACCGTACATTTGTTAATCAGTTGACCATACTTACTTTGTCAGGTCTCAGACAACGAATGATTAGCATCCTCTGGAACCCTTCGAGTTTATCTTGCCACTCCTCAGGAAATTCCTCATGGTGAGGATTCTGAAAACACAGACAATTCTTGAACCCAAAAAATGGCAAAGGGGGATTATAATACTAAACAACAAAATTGAAAATCTTCAAAAGATTCAGTTTCATGTCACATGGTTCAAGTCAGGATGCAGATGGTCCTTGACTTTTTTTTTTTTTTTTTTAATTTGATTTATATGCCGCCCTTCTCCGGAGACTCAGGGCGGCTTACAGTGCGTTAAGCAATAGCCTTCATACTTTTGTATATTTATACAAAGTCAGCTTATTGCCCCCACAAACTGGGTCCTCATTTAACCTACCTTAGAAAGGATGGAAGGCTGAGTCAACCTTGAGCCTTGGAGAGATTCGAACCAGCAGTAAATTGCAGGCAGCTGTGTTAATAACAGGGTGCTTTAAACCACTGTAGTACCAAGGCTCTTATAACCGGACTTATAACCGCATTTGGGATGGGAATGTCTGTTACTAAGTTGTGTGGTCATTAAGTGCCCAATTTTACGACCTTTTTTGCCATACTCATTAAGGCAATCATATTACTCCTGGACACTGCAACTGACATAAATACATGCTGATCACTAAAGCACGCCGAACTGCAGTCCTGTGACCACAAGAATGCTGTGACCGTTGTGTGAGAAGTAAGACTGTCAAAGGATCATAAAGTGAGAACTACAACTACCCATATGCATCTGCATGAATCATTTTTTACAGTCCTACCCTCAGCCTCACACATACAGTACGCATATATGTGTTTATTTGACTGCATGCACGTCTCCAAATTAAGCTGAAACTTCACTTTTTAAAAAATGAGCTATCGTTCATGAAAACTCAAGTGATAATTATCTGGTGCTTAAGGTGCCAGAATTTTTTTTGTTTCGCTACAGAAGATTAATATGGCTAGCTGTCTTAGGAAATTCATTCAAAACACTTCATGGAAATCTCCAGCTCTTTCTCAGTCATTAACTCCCAATGAAAAAATTTGTCCAATAATTTATTCTGGACCATTAGCAAACAATTTCCATATCCAAAAGTGTGGTTAACCAGCAGTTATTAAACCATTATCCTATGTCTCAGTGGCATTGGAACTATTGTCAACAGTATGATGACAGCTCTGCTTCCAGTCTTCTGGGGTGGCTTCTCCAAAAAAAATTCTGCAGAAGCTTCCTCCTTTTTCTTCTTTCAGAATGGAAGGTTTTCCAGCCATCTGCAACTAACATTAATGGAGGGGTCATTCACATTTACCTGATTTTTAATTCTAATTTATTTGACATGCTGGGGTCAAAACATTAACTCACTTGCCTCAAAGGAAGTGTGCTCTGTCATGAAACTGTAAGTCATTTCCCAGTTTGCTCTCTGTGTTCTCTTTAACAACATACCAAACTAAATATTTTAGCCTCACCTGAACATATGAACCCGTTGTAGATTGAGAGCTAAAGTAAGTGATGCTTCACTGGAACCCACAGATGCTACTTTAAACCTAGCACACGCATGGAGAAAAACAAAGGCACTGGAGGGGGAACAGACCACTTCCTCTTCACATATGAAGTCGCTAATAGAGGAGTAAGACACACATCTTTATTGCCCAGCATCTAACAATTTTGCTAGACCTCAAGAAATGGCTTTTCCCTATTCTGTTCCATGGTAAGCAGTGGATTTGGAATCATTCAAGCATACTCGCTAACTCTACTACTTAGAAACACAGCAAATGTATTACCCTCAGATAGTTCCAGAACTTGCAGTGTCTCCAGTTGCCTACCCAGCAAAAAACTGAGCTATGAATAATTTGGACAAAGCAATACTTCATCAAACTGGTTCATCAAACATTTCTTATTAATATCCAAAATTAATAATTATGCATGAGTGCCCAGAGAAGAGATTTATAAATATTCCAATAACTTTGACAAGAAGGAAGAAAGTCTGAAGGTTAACACAGTCTGGTTTCCAGCTTTATGTCAATTTAAAATAAAACAAGCCTTAATTGATCAAAGCCATGTTTGGTCACCACACTATAAAAAAGATGTTGAGACTCTAGAAAGAGTGCAGAGAAGAGCAACCAAGATGATTAGGGGACTGGAGGCTAAAACATATGGTGAACAGTTGCAGGAACTGGGCATAGCTACTCTAGTGAAGAGAATGACCAGGGGAGTCATTCTGATAGCAGTGTTCCAATATTTGAGGGGCTCAAGCTATTTTCCAAAGCAGGCCAGACAAGGAATAATGGATAGAAACTGATCAAGGAGAGATTCAACCTGGAAATAAGGAAAAATTTTCTGACAGAACAAAAAAAATTCTGCAGAAGTTGTGGGAGCTTCATCACTGGAAGCCTTCAAGAAGAGACTGGACTGCCAACTGTCAAAAATGGTGTAGGGTCTGCTTGGGCATGGGGTTGGACTAGTCACTAGATGACCTACAAGGTCCCTTCCAACTCTATTAATCTGTATCTAGAATCAACAGCAATCTCACAAAGGTGAATGTTTCAAAAACAGAGTAATAAAAAATTAGTTCCTTTGGAATTAAAAATTCACCTGGATATAGGATCAATCAGAAACTGGCTTTCCAGAAATATGATGAGACAGTCCAATTAGCAATTAATTCTGCTACAAAAACAAAAGTTCTGTCAGATCCTATTTGGTTGCATGTGAGCTCCTGAAAATTATGTTACAGTGCTGATCACTTTATCCCTGAACATACCAGCTGCAGCTGCTGCAAAATATCAGAATATCAAATATCAGTCCTTAACCTGCTAGCCCTGAAGCACATCTCCATTAGATTGATGCTGGCCTTGAAAATCTGCATTGATATGGAGCCTGCTTTTCATTAAAAGTAATTCTAAAATGGGAAACTATAAAATAAACCAATAAAAGTGCATCAGAAGTAAAAAAACAGATCATGGCAAGGCTGTAACTACAATAAAAAACAGCAGCATATGAACTGTTTTGAATTTTTTCCTACTAATCTAAAAGTTGATATTTTTCAATTAACAAAATTATTACCAATAATTGTAAAAGTAATGATTGTCCTTATAAACATAGTTTAGAATACAAAAATAAAGATATATGTGGGAGGGTTTAATGCTGAAGCAAAGATGAATGCTTATTTAAATGAGGAATGTACACCAGATAATTACAGACCTACCAAACTATCATATACAGTTTTCCATCCTTCCTTCAAGCGTATAAATTCCTTTCGAATACTTCTGAACATTGGCAAATCATCCAGGCGGCAGATTTCATCCCATGACTTCTGGGGAAGCCAGGGGCAGGGATTAGAATAAGGATTGTCCAGGCCTATCCCTCCTGTTAACAGAAACTTCCACTCATCCTCATTAATCTGCAATAATTTCAAACAAAATAAATTACTTAAAACTTTGAAATTCAAAGATGCAATTGTTTATGCAGCCAAAACCAAGTTCAGAGACTGTATTTTTCCAAATTTGTTAAAAGTTGCATCTGATGCAGGGATATTATGTTTAGATGAGAATATATGTAAAAGATTTGAGCTAAGAGATATAACGATGGGGGGGAAGGAAATGGGTAGCTGAACTGAATAAATGTTAAATTAGGATTTACTATATAGTCTTATAGAGGAAGGTTGTTTTGAAATGTTATATTAATATACATAAAAGATTTGACTTAAGAGATATACGTATGGGGGGTCGTAAAAGGGTAGATTATAAGCGGAAATCGCTAAATTGGGAGATATAATAATATTATTATGTTAAATTAGGAGTTATTAGATACTGTTATAATAGAATGTCACTTTGAAATGTATAGTATAGTATAAGGGGGATATGATAATTTTATTAGAAAGAAAGGGTCAGCATATGGAGATGGAGTAAGTGGATGGTAAAGTATGATATAATCTGTTATGAATTTGGGTTTTATTATGAAGAAGCCACAGGGGAAGGGGAGGGTGAGGGGGGGTTAGGGAGGAGGGGGGGAAAAAAGGGGGAAAATCTGTATTTGAAAAACTTTTTCAATAAAAAAAAAGTTGCATCTGATTGGAAGTTGATTCTTTACCTCGAGGCCTCTTGTATTAATGTCTATCCTGGACAATCGTGCAAACATTGAAGAGAATAAGTAGAGGGAAGAGAAGAACTATTTCTTCCCTCAGTTTTTCCTTGGGCAATGCTACCAACTGAACTCAAATGGAGAAAAGCGTAGTAAGATGCATGGATTCAAGTTTCAACGTTTCAGTGCAACCCTGCAAATTACTGGAAACG